TGCTATAAATAAAATGTGTGTTCCAAATTTTGCAATGTTTTATTGTTCTAATGACCAGAAACCCAGAGGTAGAGTTACCGTTATGTCAGTCACAAACATGGCGCACTGTTTGTTTCCAGTTATGATGCTGCAAACAAAAGAGGTGAAGAGTCACAATGACTCACCGATCACACATTTATCTTCCTCTCTCAGCCATCCGTTCACTTTTCTAACGAACCCTGAGGCTCGAACTTCCCCTCCTCTCTGCGAGTTTTATTTTTTTCACAAGTCCTGCGAGTTTTAACAACCCTGATACATTCCTGAGAGCTCAGTCAAACCTGAGGCCGAACCAGGCCTCAACTCGCTTGTTTTCATCCACAAAACCAACCACGCTTGTTAAAGCACGTACAAATCTGCTGCTGTGGGCGTGCAAACAGGAAATGAATGTTTTAAAAAATACATTTTTGCTTTCTCTTTCTCACTGGAGCTACAGGAGGATAAAGTCTTACATGTTGTAGTTGTAAAAGGAATTTTAATCCTGACGTTAAGCATGTGAAAGCTGAAAAATGCAACTTGTTATTCTGCAACTGAGCTGATAACAACTGAACCTTGGTCTGTGGTGGAACACGTTACAACACCAGGGTTTTCAACGTGTGGCTCTGGAGCTACATGTCAATGTCTATTTTTATAGCTCAAAAAACAACAACAATTGACCAAAGATCTTTACAATTTAGTCAAATTAAAATGAAAATAAGAAAGAGGAACAAGAAAATACATATTGTGTCACTGTGGGTGCACAAGAAAGTTAATAATAACATACAACAAGAAAAATCATCTCTAACTGTATGTTACAGCACATAAATAAGACGAGGCCAGACCTTTAAAAACTTTAACAACAAACAATAAAATCTTAAAATCAACCCTGAAGTGGACAGTGGAGAAGCCAGGATGAGGGTTCTGTGTTCATGTTGTCTAGTTGCTGTTAAAGACGAGCCGTAAGCGATGCAAAGATAATTTATTTAAACCAGGGGTGCCCATGCTTTTTCCCTGTAAGGGCCAAATTTAAAATCTATCAGACGGCAGCGGGCCAAATGCAATAATGCAAATAATTCTTTAAGTAAAGTCCATTTATTTATTATACATTTATTTATCCTTCCATTCTGTATAAAGAACATTACAGAACAGGCTGCATTGGTAGTGGTGGTTCTGGTGGTCCTCACCCAGAGAATTTTGAATAAAGTAGATGTCATTTCCTGCATTTTAATGTATTTTACAAAGGTTTATTACAGTAGATTAGCATGAAACAAAACATATAAACTCTGTTATTATTGAAATCTCGGACTGCAAAGCATTCTTAATGCAACACCGCTGCAGCTCTGCAGGTAAGGGACGTTCACTTCTGGACAAATTGAGGTCACTGACTGGTCAGTTGCCGACGTGCCTACTGGACTTATTTACAGGTGGCGTGACTCGTGCAAAAAATATATACATTTTACCGGCCTGTTTGAGACCGTTGTCATTTATTCCATATTTATTCAACATTTATTCAATATTTTGGTGATTCTAAGGTTTGAGAACTGTTTCCTTACAAAATCCTAAGGATGGTTTCTTAATTTTTCAGAGATGTTGAGTTAAAATTTAGGGGGTGCTCAAGAAGGGTGTGTGACGGGCACCTACATGATGCTCATCTTTGTCAAAGGAAATGTTATTCAGTGGCAGTAAACTGCCGAGAGACCGTATGAAGTCTGTCAAAATAAAATATAAATTATTAAAATTAAAAAAATTAATGCGCAAATTAGTCACTCCAGCTGTGTAGTTTCATCACAGTAGTTATTGGACCAACTTTCCATCTAACATTAAACTTGGAATGACTGAGTGTAAACACATTGATTCTTCATAGGGCCCCACTTTGGGCACCAATAATCTAAACCAACATACAAACATTACAATAGTCCAAACAAGAAGATTATCTTTTCAAGGCCTCTGAAAGAGAGAGATTACTTCACCTTGGCAATCAGTCTTATTCAGTCATCTGATTATGGAGGTTAAAACGTCCAAATATGAAGTCGTTCTCACGTGTTTATTTTATATGTAGAGAAAAACAAACTATGGATCTGACTTTCATAAAAGTTTGATTAAAAAACATTAAGTGATAAAAAAAAAACTTGATAAATTATTTTAAGAACCAAGTAGGTTTTGTGGCACTTTACAAATTATATTTAGCAGGAGAAAACGGCAAAAATGGCTTTTTTTTATTTACTCTAAATGTTGCCAGTCCTTGCTCTACAGTAAAAACAAGCTGAACAAACAAACTCTTTTTCTTCTAAAAGTCACGTCTAAAATTTATTTCACACAACTTTTTTCTGCAGTTCTAATCTTTTATTTGAGCTGTTCCTATAAAGCTCCTGCTCCGAAGTGGTTCAAGAAACTTAAAATAGTTTTGTTTCATTTATTTATGTTTAAAATTGGTACTTAAGGGAAGAAAAGCAGTGGAGTTCTGGATTAACAGACAAATTTTAATGAACTGAGTCAACCTGATTTAAGATGGCCGCCACAGCCAAAGAATGGTTATAATTCAGTCAATTTTATAAATATTGAGCTAAAATTTGGTGTAGTTGTCATTACACATAATCCAAGCACTACTAGTTGAGATATTTGGTTAAACGTTATTAACTGTTTGAGTCAACCTCCATTTGTCTGTTAGCAAAATATCTCAATTTAAATGAAACATTCAGAAAAGAATCGATGAAAGTACATCAACAAGTGGTAAACTTTTGGACATCTTATTGACCTTAGCCAACACCAAAATGGCTTCAACTCAGTTAATGTTATGGATACTGGGAATAAATTTCATGTGGTAGTAGTTGAGAGTCATCCTCAACACATTAAGTGCTAACAGTCTCAAAATCAACCAATGAGTTTATCTATGGTCAATACAGACAAATTTTTAGGAATCAGGGCAGCCGATGGTTGATATACACCAGTTTGGGAGGATCAATATGAATTTTTCATTTAAAAAAATGCTCAACTTGTACACTTAACAAAAATAAGAGCATTCTCTAAACTGTGTAAATTGGTTGCAGCTGCTGCTGCACCTTCATTTTAATCCATTCATTATCTGATGATCTTAGTAAAACACTCTGGTATGAAAGGTGGCAGGCGATATGCATTCCTTCAAGGAATGCTAGGACTTTAGGAGTGTGCAGCTCCAGAGTGTGTTAGTAGTGATAATCCAACATCATCTAATCCCACATGTTGACGTTATCAGAGCTGAAATCAGGAGGGGTCAACTCTCTTGTTCCAAATCTTCTCAAAGTGATTATCATATTTTTCGGACTATAAGGCGCACTTAAAATCATTTAATTTTTCTCAAAAATCGACAGTGAGCCTTGTAAGTGAGGCTTAACTAAACATCATTAACTTCACGCAGACTCTCACTGGCACATTTTCATCTTTAAATCACTTCTCAGTCTGCTGCCTTCGTACATTTCCTACATGTCACTGAGTGCAGTTACAGCGTGCGCTCTCAGGACATCATTACCTGCAGTGTTCCCTCAGTGAGAACTGAACTAGGCAAAAGGGTCTTCTACTCCGCTCCCGTTTCCTGGAATATCTTACAAAAAGATCTGAAGCTCTCGGCCTTGACCTCTCCAAGTGGCTTTAAACATCTGCTAAATACCTGGGAAAAAAACCCAATATAGACATGTTCCTGTTTTTAGTTTTCTACACCGCCTTATAATCTAGCTGTTTTTTTGTATACTTTTCCTTTTAATTACCATTTTATTTTCACTTGCTAAAAAAAAAAAAAATGTGTACACATCCTTTATGATGGTCTATTCTGTCATCACTCTTTTTGTTAACATCAGATCTCTCTTGTAAATGAGTCTCCAAGGCTCGATGGGATTAACCTGTATAAATAAAGGTTGAATGAAAAATAATCCGGTGCGCTTTATGCATCAATTCTGGTTGTGCTTACTGACCTCGAACCGATTTTATGTGGCGAGTTGAATAAAGTTTGTCTTATCTGACTGTTTTGTTCCACTTATAATCCGGTACACGGAAAAATACGGTACACAAACCGTACGGTTGTTTGCTGTCAACTCTGTGCTGCATTTTCAGTCACGCCACAAGAAGTTGGAAAACAGTCCAATATGAAGCACAGTGAACAGAGTTTTGTCGCATGTGTGCTAAACTCAACCGCCACAAGAAGCCACAGGTTGATTTCGTGATAAACGCCACCGGGTTGTGGTTCTGCTCGAATAAACAAAACGATCTTATGGCTCAAGAGCGGCACCGAACACAAAAACTAAATGAAATCTGCTGAGACAAGGATTTTTTTTTATTGACTTGTTTTTTCCAATCTCTTCAAATATTCAAGTACATTGGATGTGTAGATCCAGGACACACAATCAGCGGCAAATACTTTCAAAAACCATCGCTCCACCTCGTTTCTCTCACGGTCGATTGTGAAATCTTTTCCTTTAACCAATATTTTCTTTCAGGCTAAGACACATAGAACTCGTGTAAACATGATACGTCATTAGTCTTTGATCTGGGATTACAAAATGTAATCTGGTAGAAAAATATTTCTTCTTTCTTATGGTTTTCTTATGAATATTTACACAAAAAGGACCTCACAGTATAATCTGAGCTGTAAAACTGTAATGTTAACACAAAATCTTTTCAGAGGGGTAAAAGGCCTTTGGTTTTCATGAAAAAGTACCAAAATGACAACAAAATAACCACAAAAAGTCCATTCACTGTTCTGTGTACAACAGTTATGACTGGATTAGAAATTGTTGAGCCAGTACTGTGGGACACCAAATATCCACAGGATCTGAAATGTTCGTTCTTCATAAAAAGTTCTGAACAAAACTGCAGCTACAATCAGGCATCACTCCTGAGGACGGACGACTGACACAACTTCTGCCGGACAAAGTTACCCAGAACAATGAGCAGCATCTCTGAGGTGCTGCTCAGGGCCACCAGGAAGGGCGCCTGGGATGCAAAGTCCGCCTCCACCCGTCGGAAGGACAGCTGCATGACGGCGAGAGCCAGCAGGCTGTTCTGGACGCCCACCTCGATACTTACGGTTTTCCTCTGCGGCGGAGCTAGGCCTGCCATCTTAGCCATGACGGCCCCGACGATGAGGCCCAGCAAAGGCACAGTCACCCCGACAACCACAATCTGGGGCTCGACGTTGGCCAGGATGGATGCGCCCATTTGGTAGGCCATGAAGATGCCCCCAACTATGAGCACGAAGCTGAAGGGTCGTATGAGCACCAACAGGACGCGGGTGAGAGTGGGCAGGCGAAGCTTGATCAGCATTCCCAGGGAGATGGGAATGGCGATGAACAGGAGGGTCCCCAGGATCTTCACAAACGGCACGTGCAAGGCGGCGTGCACCCCCAGCAGCCAACCGTACAGCGCTGAGGACAGAGGCATGGCTGCTGTGGCCACCACTGTGGAGACCAGCGTCATGGAGATGGCCAAGGTAACATCTCCTCCAAGCAGCAGGCTGTACAGGTAACCACCCCCACCACCCGGGGCAGAGCATGTGATGACCAGGCCCAGAGACAGTGCTTTGGGCAGTGAGATCAGAAAGGACACACAGTAGGCATACAATGGCATCACCAGGAACTGACCCACCACACCCAGGATCAGAGGCACAGGGCTCCTCAGCAGCCCCCGCAGCACCTCCACCTCCACCTTGCACCCAAAGGCACACTTGTTAACAAAAATGAGGGGCAGCAAGGCAAACAGGACTGGGTTCTCAGTGAAATGAGACAGGCCCCCGGACTGGATGAGCCGGGTGACCGGGTCGTCTTCCCCAGGCGCCACCAGGATGGAGTAATCCGTCCTCTCCTCGATCAAAACTGGCACAGAGTCCCGGTCCTGGTTCAGCAGCTGGATCTGCAGGTGAGCCCTGCCTGGGAACCCAGAGCGGATGCTGATGATGAAGATCGTGGCGGGTCCTGCGTGGCCGCTGTCTGTCACGTTGAGGATGGAGAGGACCTCCGGGTTCTGGGAGTGCACCCTTATGGTCTCCTTCCAGCTCTGTCGACCCTTCCTGCTGCTCCAGGAGCTCCGGTACTGGCTGCAGACCACAATCACCCCGTCAGAGTTTTCAGGAAACTCGAACTCCTGCGATGACCCGTCCCCGATTCTGATGTACCGGCTGCTGCCGTCCGTAGTCCGGTTGGTGCTGCCGTCCACAGTCAGGTTTCCGGTGGCCCACGCCCGGTTTGTTCCGCCGGTAACCAGGAACAGACACCAGAATGTAAAAAGCTTCTTCATTGTATCGACGGACAGGGGGGGCGCCGCAGAGACACGCTTCACCCCGGCCAGGGCCCTCCTCAGACGGTTACCGCCGCCCTGTCGCACCGAGACGGCGAACTGCTCATTCTAGGACCGGGTATAAAAGCTCAGCGTCGTCGGCCGACTCCTCGTCTCGTCTGGTTGCCATTGTCGAGCCGCTTTTATACCGGAACCTAAACATCACCCCGCCCTGTCGCGTCGGAGCCCGGCGGCTCCACGGAGGCAGCCCCCGGGTGGTCAAACTCACACAGGTCCTCGGTGTTTGTTTTTACTCGGAGTTAAAATGTCGGTGACGATGAAGCAGAACTCCCCCTCGTCTTTCGCTTATTTCATCTCCCAGATTAACGACAACTGACAACATCACCGTCGTTGCGTTGCCGCTGCGTTGCTGCTCGAGACGTTCCAGTGAAGTTGGCTACAGTCAAACACAAGCTTCCGGTTATGGCATGCCAAAATAAAAGCCCGCATTATTAAAGGTAAAACAACCAGGGAAGGAACTGCTTTAAATCAAACTTCCCCCCTTGCATTTGTCTCACTTTTTTTTTTTTAATTCATATGACATTTTAAATATTTCTTATTTTTGATGTGTTGTTTTTAGAAATGAAAAATGAATTATTTTACTGATTCAAGGTACTCAGTCATGAAGACCGGACTGAAAGACCCCATAAAGAAACAGAATTTTCCAACAAAATTTTTACCACTTAATGAAAGTTGATGTAAAATATTTTTGAGAACGGTCAATCAAGTGACTCAAGCGTTTAAGCCATGTTTGATTTGAGTGTGGACCTGCATTTCCGATTTGTAGATTAAGAAAACTGCGTACTGGCGTAAACTCGTGCAATCAGAACAACCTAAGTATTTTTTTATAAAAATCTATACACTCATGGTAAAAATCTGTCTTTAAGCATAATAGTACATCTTCAGGTTTGAAATCATTAAAAATATATACTAGAGAAGGTATGAAAAGTACAAATTAAATGGACTGTACTTAGTGCCTTCCTATCTTATCAAGATCAAAGCTCTTTACACTACAATCTGTCTTCATTTACCCATTCATACAGCACTCTACTAGATCTGTATAACGACTAATCAGTGATTTATCACATTCATATGCCGATGGGACACACATCGGAGGAAATGGGGTTCAGTGTCTTGCCCAGGAACACTCTAGCATGTGACTGCTGGTGGAATTGAACCCCCAACTCTTGCATTGGAGGACGACTGCACTCAGCCACAGCTGCCCCAAAACACTGGACCAAACAATTTGCTTTGACTGTAAATGTGATGTTGAATAGATAATTTTAGAGTCAGCCTTGGAGCTTCCACAGTTTCTGACTAAATTAAATAATTTACAATTTCAGTATTTTGTCAATATTAAATACTTGTTTATTTTTATTGTATTTACATGTTTTGGAAAATAAAAAAATTCTAACACTGAATAAAAGTTATCAAATTAAATTGGGGTGTGGATATTTTAAATGGTATTATTCTGTACACTCTGCATGAAAATCTATCGTCTAAAGTGAGAGCTTTAGACCTGAAATCATTAAAGTAGCTGATAGAACATTTATCAATGTTGTTTAGTTTGACCTGACTGTAAATGTGGTGTTGATTTGACTATTTTGGAGACAGCCTTGGAGTTCAGTTACTGATTTGGGCAGAAGTTAAATAATTTTCTTTAATTAAGCTCCTTTTCAATTTAAAGCGCTTTTACATACTCTTATTTTGAAAAGAGAAAACTCCTTCACTTCCTGCCTCTTTCGGTAACCATGGCTACCTTGACGCAGCTTGTCAATAATCCAATCAGAGTCAGCTCGCCCCCGTCAGACGTGAGCAGGGACGGACATGGCAGAGGGAATACCGAGGTTTGGACCCCCATTGGGTTTGGGGTGGCCCGGGATTACCCATGAAAGTCAAACACGGGGAGTTTATTTTACTGAGGAAAATAGATGAAAAGACAATTTAACATTAAATGTAAAATTCTGTTTAATATAAGCTATTAAAGATTTAAAAATTTGAAGCAGCTGATTCACTTTCACAACCAGCTTTTGTTTGTTGTTAAAAGCAAAAGTGGACAATCATGTTTTTGCCTGTGTGTATTTGTGTATGGACGAGTTTTTACTACGGTACATTATGATCACCTGCAACTGATTAACAACTGATTCAAGATGAATGAAAGAGCCAAATGACCTTAAAAAACAAATAGCTCTGACTCAGTTGAGCTGCTGTTTAACATACTGTTTAATATACCAGATTATTTTACACCATTAGTGTTTAGCATACATCTTAGATCCTTGTATACTGTTTCTTTTTATATTTTATATTTTAGCTATTTTTGGATGTAACTGGGACCTTGAGTAAACAATTTCGTTCTACCTCATGTATGATCCGAATGACAATAAAGAACCTTGAATTAACTTTTACAGATATGAACATAAAGTTGGGTGTGGTCGTAGTTGAAATGGACTCCCAACAAAGTGTATGACAAATAAAGAACCTTGAACACAAATTCTGAGCACTAACAAGTTGTGCAAGCTCGGGAGTCAATTTTGTTGGTCTTTTAGTAAAATATCTTAAAAACTATTAACAGATTTTAATGAAACTTTCAGAAAAAGTAATCACTGGATTTACCTCTACGGCCAACTTGACTTTTGGAAGCATTTCAATTCAAGATGGCTACTACAGCTAATTAATATTAGCAAGCACAAAAGTGGCTATAACTCAGTCAGTTTTTCACAAACTGAGCTAAAGTTTGGTGTGGTAGTAGCCGAGAGTCATTCTAAATATATTCTGAGCACAAGCACATAAGAGAGCTTGCATAACTTTTACAGATTGACCAAAATGGCTACGCCCTTAGCAAAAAGTAGTTTATTTAAAGTGTACTACAAGTACACTTATTTTACACTAAAAATGAGGAAGTGTACTTGAGGTTTACTTTTTATAAACTTTATTTGATATACTTAAAAATAGTATAAAAATGTCACAATTTAGTTCAAACAAGTATTAAACCAGTATACTTTCCAGTACACTACAAGTATGGTGTGTAGTATACTTGATATACTTATACTAAAAAGTATACTTGCAAAAATGAACTTCAAATGTACTACCTGTTGTTAAGGGTGGTTCTTTACGTCTTAACTTTTCTACAGAGGTATTTGACTACATTTACGCTGCAACTTCTTTTAGTGTTTTGTTACCTTAATGTTTAGCAAGAGCAAAGCTGTTGCAATACATTCTTTAAAGTCCAGTGTCCCACTTTAGCTCGTCCTTTTCCCATTACTGCTTGTAAATATGGAAAATGTGTTGCTCCTCTCCATTACCCATTTAATCTTCAGGGTCACTCTCGGTTTCTGTTTCCTGACCTTTAATCCCCGGAGAGTCTTCTGACACGTCTCTATTATGTTCACCACACTCCCTGAGTGGTTTCCTGTTACCAATCCACAGTGTATATTTGTTGAACGCAAACAGAACACATAACTTTGAAAGCTGACACTCTGCACTAAAAGGAAATTCTTTTTGTCATTAAAAAACAATCTGAAAACCTTTTTTTATATATATATAGTATCTTGCTCCTGCTGGGAGTCACTCACAGATTTAAAAGCATTATTTTTTTCTATTTCATAACATGGAGCTTTACCCCCCAGCTGTGGGGTGGAGGAGGTCACTGCCGGCTTATCTTGCACACTGTGGTAAAAGCCATTCTGGGACGGCTTGTACGTCATCCATTGTGCTTTCATGAGTTGTGTGTCCTCCTTCTGTCACCGCGGCTAAGTCAGTGCTTCCAGAAAAAGCAAAAGGCGGGGGAGTCCTCGGTGAAAAACTCAGCGTGCACCAAAGCATCCTGCTGGTTGTGAACACTCTGGCCTCTGCTCTGACATTTCAGGGAGGAACAGCCAGCTTATTGTGGCGCTGCCAGGCATGCACATTAGTGCAGCTCTGCTCCACGGGCGGTCTCATTATTTACACATGGGAAGATAATTTACCTGACTTGTTTAACAATCAGGACAGAGGCATAAACTAGAAATGAAAGTGGGATTATTGTTTTTTGCTTCACCTTTGGTGTCTTTACTGAAAACGCTACAGGAATATTTGCCGTTTGTGCTGCTGCTTCAACCGTTTACTCATTTGCAATGCAAACCATGTGAATATTCATAAAACCCAATGGTATGATCTGCTCCTCTCTCGCAAAACATATCGCAAGCAGCCATGATGACTAATCCCAACGCATCAGCCTGAAATGCCAAATTAGCGTTGGGCCGCACGAAGGTTCTCCTGGCAGCAACAAAAGCAGCCTGGATGTGAAAAATACCGCCTGAAGAAGAAACTGAAGCTAAATTGTCTCATTAAAACAATTATTAATTTGAATTTTATGCTGTCTTATGTAGGGATGCACGATATTATCGGCAAGGTATTGGTATCGGCCGATATTAGCAATAAAGTTAAATATCGGACATCAGTCATTCCAATAATGTAGAATTTTAATCCCACAGCAGAGAAAGCTAAGTAGACTCTGTAAGTAGGTCAAGGGGAAAAATATTGGTATTGGTTATTATTGGCCAAATAAGTTTTGACATTGAATATCGGCCAAAAATACAATATCATGCATCCCCAGGCTTATGATTTAAAGTTTGTAAAATAGCTTTAAAACTACAACTTCATGTAAAACAAATAAATAAAAGGGGTCAAACCTTTTAATGTCTGCTTGCAAAATTTGCTTCAGTAATGTATGAACTGCAAAGTTCCTCAAAAAGTTATATCGGTGTCAATTTGTACAATATCAATATCACAAAAGATTGCAATGAATTACAGATGCAAACATGTCACTAATAAATTTGTCAACCAGGTAAACCTGCACACGCTTAAGAAGCTCAAAGTTGAATAAAATGACAGTGGTCAAACTGGTAAAACCCTCGGAGAGCCATGTGACAATGTTGATCACAATAAGAGGATCGATGAAGATGTGGACTCAGCTGATTTTTTTTGTTGTTGTTGCAATAATCCAAGTATTGTGCAGCTTTAGTGTAGATATGAACTTTTATTGTGTGTATGAGAGACTAGTGGCAAAATATTTTATCTGCAGGAATTTCAGCCAGTTCAAATTTAAGTTCTGTTGCCTTTTCTTGTCATTTCTCATCAAACTCACTGATTAGAAAGAAAAACGAGCATCACTTTAAGTGAGAGAGGTTTATTCTGAGAAACCTTCCTGGCGATATTATAATATTCAACCACACAACAGCAATTTACAGTTTAAATGTGCATCAAATCAAATGACAACCTTTTGCATCTCTAATAAAATATACGGTGTATTTGTTTAAATCTTCGACTTGATTAAAAATGTTGTTGGCTGAGCAAATGTTAGGTAAACTGCTAGCATTTGTTGGATTTGGTGCACAAATGGACACATCTTTAAGAAAAAATATTTTATAAGTTCCTCAAAAAGTTTTTTTTTTTTTTATTATATTTTTAAGTAGGTGTTATCACCCGTTTTCCTTTGGTACCATGTGCAGCTGCTTTGGTTAAACAAGTCACAAACCATGTACATCAAATGAAAAAGAATAGAGGGCAGATGTTTATTTTCAATTTTCATATGATAAATATACAAAATAAAAGTGCTGAAAACTTGTCAGAAGTTGAAGATAAATAAACCTCACAATGAAGTTGGAAACCTTATTGTTGCTCAGTCCTAGGTGGAGGTCTACGGTAGTTTCTTCCAGCCTGTTTGTCTCCAACAAACTGATGACTACAATCAAAGAAGCCCGAAACCCACCAAACCATTTAATAAGAAACTTCATTTAGAGTTTATTAAACCAAAAAGTAAAGAAGCAATCATCTTTTAAAATTCAGCGCATATGTACATTTAATTTCTCTGCTTTGATGCAGCCCATCATCACATCTGTATGTTCAGGATTAGGAAACGTTAAATCAGGATCCAGCATGTGCAGCACATCCCTGCTCTGATGTGATTTAGATCCCAGAACAACTCCAAACGGAACGAGCGGAGACGATTCAGATACTCAGAAAAAGAAACATTCAAAAATATCTGAATGAGACGTCAGCGTGGCTTAAATCTAACCCCCTCAACCAAAAAAAGAGATCTAGAAATAATAAAACCCTCCTTCTGTGACAGCTAAAGGCAACCAAGCTCATGCTCATCACAGTCAGGAAGATGGCAAACAAAGGACTGAAGCAACGCAGGCTGGACATGTAGAACAAAAAAAAAACATCTTCATTTTCAACCTCTACACTTCCCGTCTTATAGGCACTGGAGGAAGAAGCACCTATACAAGCACCCGCATCCCAAATAAGGCGTTCAAAACATGAATACAAGCAAAAACAACAATCTAAAACAAATAAAGAAGGCAAACATCACCCACAGTAAAACAGGGATTGTCTTTTGTTGCTTACAAAATTTATGAACGGGTGAATCAGTTGAAAAATTCGTTAGACCCCGTCATCTATTTTAAAAGGATATTTTTATGTTAAATTGATCTCCTTTCTGCCAGCAAAACCGCCCAAATTAGGGATGCACGATATTATCGACATGTATCAGCCGATATTGGCGATAAAATTAACTATCGGACACCGGACATTCCATTAAAAACCCTCACGATATAAAAGGCATCTTTTTAAGTTAATTTTTAATTTAAGAAAACTGTCAAATATATCTATTAATGCACTACTACTTGTTGCTTGTGAACAGGTTGAGATTAGATTTGTGAAAATTTACAAATCTGCACTGTTCGAGTGTTATTGTGTTTGAGAGTAAATGTCATGAATAAATTTGACATTAAACATAATCCAAGTTGAAGTGTTACATAATTTTCAGCCCCTTTTTTGAGATCTACATTTGGTAGCAGGCCAAATTGACAAAGACCATGCAGGATAATGTAGTTTATAATTCCACAGCAGAGAAAGTTATGTAGTCTCTGCAAGTAGGCCTAGGTGGAAAAAAATATCGGTATCGGTTATCAGCCAAATAACTTTTAACATATCGGCCAAAAATCCAATATCATGCATCTCTAGTCCAAATGGATGTTGTTTTTTTTGTTTTAACTTAAAACAGACCCCACCCCCCACCCCCACCCACAGAAATCACCTTTCACCATGTGAGGGTCTAAGATCCCCCAGTTATCTTATGAACAGTTTAACTGGTCAATAAAACTTATAAGATCATTTACAAAATGTTTTACACCCAAAAGCCGGTGGTTGGAGAAGGGATTAAAAAAAAGGGAAACGTGGTCTCGAGTTCAACTGAAACAGAAAGGTGAACCCAAGAGACGCTCGTGTTCTCTCAGATGCTATTTCTAGCTGCTGTGTGTGTGTTTATTTATGGGCCAGCGGGGGCAGATAATCAATTTACTCATTAAGTCCTTCCAGGAGGAACAGTTCAGTTGAAACACAAATAGTTCCTGTCGAGGCCTAGCTTACAAACTCATTTGCTTCCATGCAGCTGTCAGCTCGCTCGGCGTCTCTTCTGCAGCGCTGTTCAGTTTCGCAGAGCAGCCAGCCTGCAGGAGGAAGAGGAGAAGGAGGAAGAGTTTTATTTATCTGCTTCAAACGGAGCAGTGTTCTGAATTACAGCACCTTTCTGTCAGAGGCGGAGCAAAAATACCACCGACTACAGACAAATTATTCAAAGTTATGTAGAAATACTCGAACACAACTAATAATTGTTGATAAATTTTAATTTGTAAAATGGTGTCAGAGAGAAGAAATAATTTTACAAAGCAAGACTTAATCATTAATAGATTTGCCTAATAGAAATAGAAAAAAAAATGATTGAAATAATATTAAAATAAAAATTAGCTTTATATTTACCATTTTTATGACCTACATCTTTCATTTCAAAATGTTACTATATCAAATTTATTTCACAGAGTGAACTTTGTGAGTTTTGGGGAAAATAAAATAAAGTTAAACAGAGACACACGTCTTTGCTTTAATCTATTATTTTTTAAAATGTTAATAATGTTTAATAATACAGAAATATGAGTCAAAAGGATGCACGCTCTCTCTCTCTCCCTCACGCTGTGCGGGGAGTTCTGATAAACTGATAATATCAGTGTGGGATCGCCTGAGAGCCGGATTAAACAACAAATAACAGATTTATTACTGGAGAAATGATGACGACGTACAGCAGCTTTGTAGTTAGTTTTAAAAATAGTTAACCACAAAGAGGATTGATTAAGTGAGTCAAGTCATTTTAGTAAACGACACAAAGGAGACGTTCGACACACATCCAGCTCGCTTTCAGTTTCAGCCCGGCTGAGTTCTGCCCCGCCTCTTTTGGTTTCCCGCTCAAAGCTCACACCTGAGCAGGACGCGAACGCTTCACCTGTGATTTATGAACCCTTTGAGGAAGAACTGGTCTGTGCAGCCTTTTCATTGTAAACGAGAACTGGTTTTTAATGGACCTACTTGGAACACCAAAAATTATAAACACTTTTATTTTGAAAAGTATACAGAGATGACAGAATAATATTTGTGTTAAGTAGGAGGCATAGTGTGTCATTTTTGTTTTTAATGCTGTTTCACTTTAATACATCACTACTTTTATTGCAAGAAAATAGATCTTCAAAACGTAATTTCTTTGAATTACACTTTTGGGTTCTGTTTATTGCATTTATGATTCAATGCAGCAAAATAAACACATTTTAAAGGTAATAGATTGTAATACTTGGTTTAGTTACATAATGACTTTAATTGCTGGATGTCCGGCCTCTGAGCTGTTGTCTTTCAGCAACTGTGGTCCCCTGAGCAGTTTAGCAACCTTTAATAGCCCTGCCTTAAAGGTGTAAAGTCAAAAATATTTATTTAATCATTGTCCAGTGGCTTCTCTGAACAACTCCAAGGTTTAAATGATCTGATATTAAAACATTTCTATGCTAAATTTGCACTTTTTGTAATAAACTGATTATCTGAGGAAATGCAGGTTATATTACGAACAAACAAAGTGGATGTCCTCCAGAGAAGCATAATTGGTGTAACCCCGTTTGTTAATAATAATAAAAACGTTTTAAAGTCTTAGTTCTCAATAAATATTACTTGTTTTAACTCTCATAATGAGAAAATTAATATATAAACGGCTTTTAAATAATAAATTCAAAACACATTTATTAGCGAAATGCATAAAAAAAGCACAGTCTGAAACACATTTTCCTACAATTAAAGTGATTTAAAGTCATCGTAAACAAAGGATTTTAAATCCGATATACCGTATTCACTCACACTGACCACGTCATCATCAGGTATAATTTAGAACATAAGGAAAAACGCTGAGGTAAAAAATTTTACTGAGATGTTTAATTTCCTAAAACATTTTTTTTACTGCATCTTAAATCAGAAGTGATAAAATCACAAGACTCTTTTTTTAAACTAACAAGCTTTCAAAACAACAACAGATGGTTTCAACCTGGCAGCATTTCTCACTGCCAAAACCCTGCCAGTAATGAGACAACAACATCTGTAAGGTTTTATAACATCTGCTTATTTAGCTGCAAAACAAAACAGTTTTCTGCTTAAAAATCAGTGGCAAATGAAACATAACTCAGATTACTGTAATGGAAATGAGCAGCTCGATTTACATGAGAAGACCAAACAAATGATGAATAACAGTTATCATAACTGCTGTTTATGAAACGTTAGAAAATGTGATCTCCTCTATGACGTTCCTGTTTAAATAAGAATTTTAAAAAAATATTTTCTTAAATTAATAAACTTTGGCCACTTTTAGACGTTATGCAACATTACAGTCACAAAAACCAAAATGATGATTACAAAGAACAACCAAGTGGGATAAAGTGACAAATATTGCATTTTATTTTAATCATCCTAATATGAAGAATGCTATTATGGTTATTATTGTTGCTTTTTTCAAATTTCCCTGCAGTACAAATTTAGAAAACAATCATAATGTCCATCAGACTGAGAATAAATAGGTTTAAAATGATTCATGTTGAAAGAAGCTACACGATGGTTATAAAAAAAGCATCTCCTTCTTCACTGAATCTTTACATCAGAAACAGATGTCATAATGTCATAACAGACACAGTATAGTGGGGAATAAATTGTTAGAAATAACTGAAATCTTATTTTTAACCAAAGGGAAATTAAAAAATATTTCATATGTTTAACAAACAACAACATAATGTCTACTTTCTGAACCAGCTGATGTGTGAATAAAGCTGTGGACCCGAGAACAAGTCATTTGATTGTTTTCACTTGTATCCATTTCCACGTGAGAATCTTCCTCTGGTCTTTATGGCTCCCTGTTTGAGTTAAACATACTCTACCCACCCTGTAATTATTGGCTTTGCAACCACAACAGTGGCATTCAGTAAGAGCCGCTCCATGTTCATTGTCTGATCTCACCCCTAACCACAAACTGCAGGCTCATGTGATACACGTCAGCACACCAGAGTTTGAAAAGCAGGACAAAGATGATTACACGTCATCTGAACATGTTTAGTATTCGCTGCTGCTGTTCTGTTTTACATGCGCTTCTGCTGTGTTTTTCCTACGCAGTACTGCTCATTTGTAAAGTAATTTGCAGACTCGGCATGATATTTTGATGTAAGCTAGTATATCTCAAAATATTACATATGTATTATTATTATTAATAATTATTATATTATAAAAATAAAATAAATTTCATTTTCCTATTTAGAGCCTGTCTGATGTGTTCATTCCTTTGTTCAACCTGATGCAAGTTACAAATAAAAACTGCATCTTACCGTCGGGACAGTTGGTCTTCCTTCTCCTGGACCCGTGAGCTCTCTCCGCTCAATGAGGTAGCTCCAGCAGGCAGATCATTGAGCTGATCCATCACCTCCAGGCCGTTCTGTTCTGCTATCTGGTGGATCAGATCATCCACCTGCTCCTGAGGTGTGGTCAGAGTCATAGCTGAACTCATAGAATCCTCCATTACCTGATGCGGTAAAGAAACGGGGCAGAAGCGAGTTTGAGTTGGGAAAGGATCACAGCTGTATGAAGCCTATTACAAAGGGAGACGGTCAGACTGCAGGAACTCACAGATGTGTGGACGTCAAGGTTCTGAACTTGGCTTTCAAACTTATCCATGACTGCAGAGACCTTTTGGAGGTCCATAGAGTTCAAAGCTTTGTCCAGTGCCTTGGTCACCTGGCCCATGCTTTTAGTGACCTGATGAAAAAAAAAAAAGACAAAATGAGAAATGTTTGATGTTTCTACAGTATTTGTCTCATAAAGTCTTACAAAAACTCTGATATTCAAGTTCATTAAAACCATACAAGTCAAAGTAAAAATAATAATACTACTTTGTTTTCTGCATTTCAAAACTATAGACATCCGTTCCTTTTCCAGTACCGGATGCACTACTGAGCTAAGTGAAAAGAGTAACTTACCCCCTTCATGGTAACAGCAGTCTGAACTTTAGAGGCCACTGCGTCGACTCGTGACGCCATGCGCAGCCAGTTAAGACCTTCATTTTTTTTCCGGATGGCATTCTCTGCGTAAACTCTGGCGACATCGACATTTTTCTGTTGCAAAGCCTGTCGACGAGACAAAAATGCAGTTCACGCTCTTCTGTAAAACAATGCAAAATGTAAAACTGACACACGTCTTATCACATGACGGATAATAATAATAATAATAATAATAATAATAATAATGTGTTATGTGTTGTCATCATAACAATACTGAGTCATAATGTTTATTTAAAAACTTATTAAAATAATGATTTTTTTTTTTTTTTTTAAATGGAAATTGAAATTATGTTAAATTTATGTACTCTTTCAAAAAAAGTTCAATCTGGTCCTCTGGACAACGTTTTTTGTTTTTTTGAATGTCCAGAGGATCAGATTGAACTTTTTTGGATTTTTCTACCTGGATTATTGAGCATGCATCAGGATATTTATGTACTCTTGTTTCTATAATTTAAAAAAAAGCTTCTGGATAAAAGCTCCATTAAGTCTTGTAGATAAAAGACAAAACGTTACGAGAAGAAGAATCCGTCCAGAGGACCAGACATAACATTTCTTAGATTTTTCTACGTGGATTATTGTGCATGCATCTGGATATAATCATTAAAAAACCCTACAACTAATTACACTATATAATGATTATTGCTGTGAATGGTGGTGTACTGGTTCTCTACCCCTCAGACCATAATTGACACAAAACAAATTGTAGCACACAAACATTTTATAAATAAAACCAATGCATGTAAATAAATACAAACAAGTAAACATTTATCTTTTGAAATGCACATGAACTTTGTCAGTGACAACTGTCTTGACTCATTAGAAAACCCTTTAAGTGTGGAGTAAAATAACAATGACTCAGATATGTCATAACCTCATCATTAAAGACATCACCTGATTATCATTTCTGCCATCTTCAAGCCCAATGTGCAGTTACCGGTATGCTGTTAAGAGCTGACTAATACTCAGCAGCTCTAAAAACAGTTAAGACACTGAGCCAACAGACACAAATACCAACCAAGCCTCTTTTTGTACAGACAAACCTGTGCTGCCACCTGCTGACTCATACATGACACTTCCAGTGTCATTTGATCATTAAAGATCTACAGTACTCATCAATTTTTAACACATGGAGAAATAGAATTGAACTAAAAGACCACTGCTTGTTGTTTTACAAGTAAAGATATACTGTTTTCATAAGGGAGATTCATGTGTCACCTCATTCTAATGTGCAGTTTATCCACATAGATACAAAAAAAAAAAAAAAGCTATTGCACAAATGATTGGCATAAAGGTGGAGGTACAAATGTGTCTGAATGAAGTGTCATTTAATGAATGTACAAAAACAACAAAGGATTCTGGTATTTTTGTTTATAAAAATGCACACTTCTTCTCACCAATTTGTACCATAAGTACTTTTTTAAACCAAATTGTCTGATCACATAAAAGCTTGTTGTTACATGATAAAACAAACAAAAAACATCCACTTTATCTTCCGTAATTATGTGTGTTTGAAAGTCTCTTGTTTCTCTTCTTAGAAGAAAAATTGCCACTGGACTACAGCCAAACAGAGTAAATGGGGAAGCATAACTAGCAGAATGGAAAGGAAACACTTAGAAAATTAAAGGCACTCAAAAAACCTACCCAAATCTCATTATCAGATTCTACATTACATCTATAAAGATAGCATAGCCCTGTATTTACCGTCATCTGTGTAAGAAATTTTCAATAAAATAATAAAGAGGTGTCATGTTTATTAACAATATCTTATTCAAACAGAATGACAGGGTTGTCAAAGTTGTCAATACTTGACAACTTTCCAGACTGAACTGTGTGCCTCACCTATGTATAGATGTATAGATATACAATGTAAAGGTGTAGGGTGTAGACAAAGAAAGTTGTGATGTTTTATATTAGTTGGTTAATTAAACAACAGGACTGCTGGATGGCCTGTGTCAAACTAAACATTTAAAAAAATCCTGTTGTCAGTAGTTTTTCATAGTTGTTTTGCTCTTGTTAAATCCCCAATGATTGGTTTGATTTACATTAAGCCTGTTTGGAAGAGATGACAGCTAAAAACACTAAAATAATAATAAAGAGCAAGCACAATATCACAAGTAACAAAAGTATATAAACAGTGCAACATAGACTATTCTGAGAACATTCAGCCATCATTGAATGCCTAAAGTTTGCTCTAAACTCTTGCTCACCTTCTTAACCTTGGCCTGCTCCTTTTCTGACTCCTTCTCGGCCTTCTTAGCAAGTCTCTCAAGTTGTTTAGAGGTAAACTGTGATCCGCAAAATAAAAAGTATCAACATATTTTTTATTAATTGACCTTTACTAGTTCAACTGATATGGATTAAGTTGCTCTTAGAAGCATACCTTAAGCTGGAAAAGTGTTTCTGTGGAAAAAAAGGACCAAGAATTAGAGTGGTATTTTTATGATGTAGACAACAACAGATTTTATTTGTCTATGCATTTTAATACCATGACAAGACAGTGCAAGTTTCTGCAAAAATAGCTGATAAGAATACACTATTTTGAAGACTGATAAGAAAAGTGAGACAATATATATGTTAAACTATCCTTCGGTTTGGACAACTATACAGATGCTAATATTTTAAGAATATGTGGAGCAAAATAAATCTAATTTCACCGTCTCAGGCTGAAACGGTGTGTCATTTGGTTGAAGTCCCAGGTTCATAAGTGTGGAGTAATGTTTTATTGTTAAATCCTGCTTTACTGTTAAAAAAAAAAACAACAAAAAAAAAACAAATGGCTTACACAAACTTTTCTTGAGACTGTGTAATTTCAACTGTTCAATTTTTATTTATTTATTTACATTTTAACAATTCTGTACATCTTAATTTGTTTGTTCTGCTTGCTTCATGCAGTCTCGTTGTGAATGTGTTTTAAAATCTACCTTTAGAATAAAGTTTGGTAAGAACAGAGTTTGTAAATAGACAAAAAAAAATGGAGGTATATTTCATTTTACTTTAAGTAACACTAAAAGCTTTTTAGATGTATCAGTTTTATTTCGTGCTGAGGAAATCTTCAGGAAGAATACATATATCATTAAAACATCATATTCTGAGACTCGAAGCAAATATTTTAAAAAAATAGACTGATTCAGGGTCAGACAGCTTAACAACAATAATTTATATCAAATTAAAGGGGACTTTAATAATCAATCTGTAAACCTCATGTAACGTCCAAAAAAAAAAAAAAAAAAAAGCTCACTGAAAACTAGAAGGTTTGACAGTTACAGCTAGCCCGGCTCACACCCAAGCTAACGTGCTAATGCTAACTACCAGCATAAATTAATACAATTTTTAAAAAGTGACATACGTATTCTATCCGGGTAGAGTATTTAGCTGTTAAAAGTGACATACCATCCATGTCGACACAAATATGTAGGCTGTCAGTCACGGAGAATGTGATTTCCGGTTTTTCACAAAGCTAGTCTGGAATTGTTTTGGGTGAAACGTACTTTTTCCTGGTTTAATAGGTGTCACGTGATCAGAGATGGTCTTCTTCGTCTGTCCTTGAAATTGAAGTTGATGTCTTTACTGCCACCTACTGTGTCCTTTCAAGCACTGCAATAGATAATCTGTCAAAGGATATAGCCAAAGAAGGTGTTATAAACTAATTATTATCTGTCATTTATAAGACAACATTAAATACAATTTACCTGTTTATTACAGCGTTGTTAAATGGAATGTTTTCTTTTGAAAAAGCAGATGCGTTTTTGTTTGGGAGTTGGTCTTTTTAAGTGGACAATAACTTATTTTTTAACCATTTTCACAAGCAATGTCTTTGTTTGTCAAGGTATTAGGCAGCGGAGAAAAAGTGAGAAAGATGAGACAAGAGGGAAAGATCGACAAGCTTCCAGAAAGAGAAGAGCTGTTTGTCAAGAAGACAGAATTTCTGAAGAAAAAGATCGACCTTGAACTTCTGTGTGCCAAGAAAAACTGCAGAAAAAACAGAAGAGGTGAAATCATATTCAGAAAAAAACATATTCAGTTAATAGGCTAGCTGTGTTTTAAAAATGTAATGTTTAAAATGTTAGCTAGTTGTTATCAAGCTAGTTAGCATATAAGCTAATTAATTAGCGTACTAGCTAACTTTACAACAACTGACTGAATTTAAACTAGCTTTTTTTAAATGTAAACAATGAAACAAATGCCCAAAACATGTAATAAAACGTATGGGTAATATTTGATCTCACTTAAAGTAAAAAATGTGTGTTGAAAGTTTTAAGATGGATAAGTAAAATGTGAAACTGGTGTTGTTTTCCCAATTATCTTGGTTAGTTAGCATCAAACAAACCCAGATGTTTAAACCTTTAGTTTAAAGATGCCAATTTTTAACTTTTAGGGCAAGGTAGGTCATGAAGACTAGACAAAAATAAAATAAAACATAAAGTAAGAAAGAAAATGAGCATAATATTTTTCTTATATCAATCCTTAACTCTCCTGCTGCTCTTGGGTGAAAATGACCCATGAGGCCTTAGTTTTAAAAACAGTTTTCATTTGACCTAAATGCAACAAGATGGGTAAATAACCAGTTTGTAGGCAACATGGACTGGATGCCAACTAATGTGTGTGTTTCCCTGAAGTGACTAAAAGTAGGTCAAATGTTAAACTTCCCAGCCATAGTTGTATATACTTACATATATTTTACAACATGGCTTTATATGACCTACACAGACCAGACAGTCTGATGTTAGTCATGTGACTCAAACTTCCCCATGGTTCCCCCATGGCGTGCTCTGCTAAGTGCTTTGTTTACATCAAGTGTGGATCCGCATTTCAAATTCAAACTATTTGGAAAACCACTGGAGTAAACTCTTTTGAACTGTATCATTTAGTTTTAATTCTGAATAACATTTTTATTAGAGGTGGGTGTTACTGCAAAATTTGGTATCTATCCAATTACCAAGTAATTACAAGGCCTATATTGCCGATACAGGCACTTTTAAATACTTAAGACGTTAAAATCTGAATCGATTTTCATGACTTGTAAGCGTTTATTAGATTTTTTTTTTTCCCCTTTGGAACATTAATTACTGGGTAGTTAAATCCCAGGACAGAACTTGGGCAAGGTAAATAGGAAATACTTAATGCAACACAATAATTGAATAAAAATGTTCCATTTTCCCTTCATAGAAACTGAAACTTGAGTATCAGTATGATTATACTTATGATGTTGATCAATATCAACTTTGGTATTGATATTATTAATATTTGGATTCACCCCTCATGCCATGAGTACCTTTAAGTTAAGTAAGCAGCTTATTATTTGGCTGTGATCATATATAAAGCCAATAACCGTTTGCTTTTTGTACATTTTGTCCCAATGTGTTGTCTTCACAGCCGCTCTTCAGGCACTAAAAAGAAAGAAGTGGTGCGAGAAACGTCTGAACCACGTCGACTTTGCTGTGGAAGCCATGAGATCTGCTCACCACCACAGGTAGGGAGAAAAACACCAGCACAGGAAAATCAGTGTCTAAAAAAATTAAAATAAGTTTGAATCAGAATAAAACACATCTTCAGTAACTAGCAAACAAAAATTGATCCACAGACAGATTTTTTACATGACATGATACACTAATTTGTATTTGGAAAATAACAACAAAAAAATATGTTTAAAATATCATGACTGAAATGAAAACTTGTGGATTGATTTCTTTTTTTTTTGTCAAGGATTGATCACATGTTATAACGATATGTTTGGATGTTGAACGATTGCGTGCAGAACTTGTTTCCAGTTCACTTTAATGACGTCTTGATGTTGCTGAATGTTCTAACGGCTACATCAAAAAAGATTCACTGTAACGTTGTGCTGGCAGTTGCAGTGAAATGATCAACAAAGTGAACGACCTGATAAAGGAACTCGCAGAGGAAGAGGACGTCTCCGACAACCTCAACTCTCTTATCGACCAGAATGTGGAGTTTGATGAGGTACACCAAAATTAACATGCAATAAACTTAATTCATTAAAAGCTTAAATGGTTTGCATTTTATTTTCAGCTCTTGGTCAGATGTGTGTGTTTGTTCCCTTCAGGATGAGCTGCTAGCAGAGCTGGAGAGGTTGGAGAACAGTCTGGATGAGAACCTCTTTGAGGAGGACAGAGACCTTTCTTCTCCAGCGTTGCCCACTGCGTCACCATCCCATCCCAGTAGGAACCTCTGAACACCACTGGGTCATCCTTCAATGCAGTATTAATGGGTTCTAGCTCATTTTTCATGTTTTCCTCTCACTAAAGCAAAGCTGGAGGAAGATGACGATGAAGATGACTTGGAGTATCTTCGACGATGGGCCAACGAATCCTTGTAAGCACAATTAACAACACTGGTGGTTAAATGAGGGAAGCTTCTGCTTCTGGATGTTTTATGAGGATTTTCTGTTCAGAAGATGGTCAGATGGTCTTACATTGTTTACATTCCTGCTGGGAAAATATTTGAGCCTTTTAATAAAGTGTTGCCTCTTTGTGGTAAGGTTGGAGAAAAGTCAGGATGGAAGTCTCGATGATGAGGACAGAACAGAGGACAGTGTCCTTTCTAACCCAGTCCTGTCCACTGCATCCCCCTCCCACCCTGGTAAGAACATCTGGCCTTTCCTGGATCATTTTCATAGGAGCAAAAATAGATTGATGCAAATTGTTCACTTTCTTTTCTTTTTTTTAATGAAGCTAAGATAAAGGAAGACGAGGATGAAGACTTGGAGTACCTTCAACGTTGGGCAAAAGATTTCCTGTGAGCACGTCGAAAGGTTCAGGATGAAATAAACAGGCAGCTGTTACGTGTTTTCGTTCATGAATGTTTTATGTATGAAGGAACATTTCTTTCTCTCCATGGTAAAGTCAGCGCAAACACATAAACTAATATTTATATTCTGGGTAAAAATAGTGATTTCTTTGTTTAGACCACTGTGTTCTGAACTAGTCAGGTTGTTTCTTTACCTGCTCAGTCATGAACACCAAATTTAAAACCAAGCATTCGTCCTGTTTTATTGCTGTGTCGTTGAGGTTCGCTGTTGACCCTCATCTTGTTAGATTTCTTGGCTTTGTTTTGTTTTTAAATAAAAAAAATAGTCTTTATAAGCTCTTGTGAACTTTATCTTTTTAAAATAATATCATACATTCTATATTTGGGCAGCACGGTGGCGCAGTTGGTAGAGCTGCCGCCTCTCAGCGAGCAGGTCGCCTCGGTTCAAATCCCGGCCGGGGGCCTTTCTGGGTGGAGTTTGCACGTTCTCTCCTGCATGTGTGGGTTTTCTCCCGGTACTCTGGTTTCCTCCCACAGATCAAAAACATGCATGTTAGGCTGATTGGTGACTCTAATTGTTCCTAGGTGTGAGTGAGAGAGTGAATGGTTGTTTGTGTGTATGTGTCCCTGTGATGGACTGGAGACCTGTCCATGGTGTCCCCTGCCTCTCACACAGTGATTGATCCAAAATACCAGAGTTTTAATGAGAGTTAGTAGGAGAGATCATATCTCTCCAGTTTTAGCTTCTCTCTATTGACTCCCTGTCAAGTCCAGAACTGAATTCAAAATCTTACTTCTAACCTACAAAGCTCTCAACAACCTAGCTCCATCTTATATTCAAGATCTTGTTGTTCCATATTTTCCTAACAGAGCGCTTTGCTCTCAGACTGCAGGCTTACTTGTGGTTCCTAAAGTTTCCAAAAGCAGAATGGGAGGAAGATCTTTCAGTTATCAGGCTCCTCTCTTGTGGAACCAATTTCCAGTTTCTGTCCATGAGGCTGACACATTGTCCAGTTTTAAGACTGGACTTAAAACTTTCCTTTTTGATAAATCCTGTAGTTAGGGTCGGCTTGTTATGCTGCCATAGGATTAGACTACTGGAGGACAAATTGACCAAATTTCCTTAAATTAATTGTTAAAATTGAGTAGTTTTCATTTGATACTATTTCTATCTTAATATGTGATTCTTGATCTGCCATTGTGTATCTGTTCCTCTCAAACCCAGCTGGTTGAAGCAGATGACCGCTTGTCCTGAGCTGCTAAAGGTTTCTTCTTCATGAGGGAGTTTTTCCTTTCCACTGTCGCCTTCATGCTTGCTCAAGATGAGAGTTTCTGCGATGGCGTTAAATTCAAAGCAGTCTGCTCCTCAGATAAATAATGTTAATTACTTATATATATATATATATATATATATATATATATATATATATATATATGTATTCT